ATATGCGTGTGGTGTGTGTGGTATGTGTGTGATATGTGTGGTGTGTATGTGATATGTGTGTGGTATGTGTGGTGTGTATGTGATATGTGCGGTCTGTGTGCGGTATGTGTGGTGTATGTGATATGTGTGTGATATGCGTGTGGTATGTATGTGATATGTGTGGTGTGTGTGTGTGATGTGTGTGTGGTATGCGTGTGATATGCGTGTGGTATGCGTGTGGTGTGTGTGGTATGTATGTGATATGTGTGGTGTGTGTGTGTGATGTGTGTGTGGTATGCGTGTGATATGCGTGTGGTATGCGTGTGGTGTGTGTGGTATGTATGTGATATGTGTGGTGTGTGTGTGTGATGTGTGTGTGGTATGCGTGTGATATGCGTGTGGTATGCGTGTGGTGTGTGTGGTATGTATGTGATATGTGTGGTGTGTGTGTGTGATGTGTGTGTGGTATGCGTGTGATATGCGTGTGGTATGCGTGTGGTGTGTGTGGTATGTATGTGATATGTGTGGTGTGTGTGTGTGATGTGTGTGTGGTATGCGTGTGATATGCGTGTGGTATGCGTGTGGTGTGTGTGGTATGTATGTGATATGTGTGTGGTATGTGTGGTGTGTATGTGATATGTGCGGTCTGTGTGCGGTATGTGTGGTGTATGTGATATGTGTGTGATATGCGTGTGGTATGTATGTGATATGTGTGGTGTGTGTGTGTGATGTGTGTGTGGTATGCGTGTGATATGCGTGTGGTATGCGTGTGGTGTGTGTGGTATGTATGTGATATGTGTGTGGTATGTGTGGTGTGTATGTGATATGTGCGGTCTGTGTGCGGTATGTGTGGTGTATGTGATATGTGTGTGATATGCGTGTGGTGTGTATGTGATATGTGTGTGGTATGTGTGGTGTGTATGTGATATGTGCGGTCTGTGTGCGGTATGTGTGGTGTATGTGATATGTGTGTGATATGCGTGTGGTATGTCTGCGGTATGCGTGCGGTATACGTGTGATATGTGTGGTGTGTATGTGATATGTGCGGTCTGTGTGCGATATGTGTGGTGTATGTGATATGTGTGTGATATGCGTGTGGTATGTCTGCGGTATGCGTGCGGTATACGTGTGATATGTGTGGTGTGTATGTGATATGTATGTGATAGGTGTGTGGTATGTGTGTGATATGTATGTGGTATGTGTGTGATGTGTGTGGTATGTGTGTGATATGTATGTGATATGTGTGTGGTATGTGTGATATGTGTGTGGTATGTGTGATATGTGTGTGGTATGTGTGTGATATGTATGTGGTATGTGTGTGATGTGTGTGGTATGTGTGGTGTGTATGTGATATGTGTGTGGTATGTGTGTGGTATGCGTGTGCTATGTCTGTGGTATGCGTGTGGTATGCGTGTGGTGTATATGTCTGTGGTATGCGTGGTGTGTATGTGTGGTGTGTATGTGATATGTGTGTGGTATGTGTGGTGTGTATGTGATATGTGTGTGGTATGTGTGGTGTGTATGTGATATGTGTGTG